GTCAGAATGGCAAAGAAATAAGACATGAAAGAAATATTTTTGTAGTGTAAATGAACTGGGATCAGATGAATCACCTGAGTGGGGGATGAATGAGCAGAAGGAGTCAAAGGCAAATGCTAGGCACTAAGTCTGCGTGCCCAGGGGCCATGGACGTCTTTAACTAAGACACGGAGGCTCGCAATAGGTTAGCATTAATTTTATTCTGGAATCACTTTAGAATTCTGCACATGCTGCAAGATAATTGGAAACACCCCAGGATATTGCAAGCCAGAGCTGGAGTCACTGGCTCAAAATAAATGTTCTACTTAGTTGCCCAAATGAGAAACCCGGGAATCATCATGGATCACTCCCTCCCCCGGTCCTGTCCGAGCATCTCCTGCCTTCCATCAGGTTCCAAACCCTCCATCTCCTAAATAGCTTCCGAATATGCTCCCTTCCCTCTTTGCCAACTCACACCCAATTTGTGCCATCTTACTTCCATTGTTCTGCATACCCTGTCTCCTCCATCTTCACCTGGAGGTTTAGTTTCCATCAACCCTGATTTTAAAGCAGGAATCTTATTATACGGTGACAGGAACTGAAACAGTCATTTATGAAACTTCATTCATGTGGCCATTCCCTGAGCAAACAGTATTTTGTTTAACCTTTATAAGTCTTCTAGTGACGCTTTAAGGGGCTGTTATTAGTCTCATTTTCAAAAGGAAGCAACTGAGGCTCAGGAAAAGTAAGTAAATTGCTGAATGTTACAGATGAGTATATAAAGGAGGTGGGAGTCAATCAGGCTGTTTTTATGTTTCAAAGCATTTGAAGACTGTCAGTGGTCCTGAATCACCTACATTTTTAAACAAAAGTCCAGATTATTCTCATAACATACAAGGGCATTCAGGATGTCCCCTGTGTCCTTTTCCATTCTCCCCTTTTGCCACTCATGCTGAATAACTGGTACCATTCCAGGGATGTTGTGCCCTCGCATGAACACGCTGTGCCCTGGGTCTGGATGAGAGGAGGGGCTCACTAAATGCTTATTTTATGAAGTATTGTGTATTGTTTTGTGCACTGTGCTATCTCCCCTATTTCTTAAGCCCCAGCCTAGAGCCACCTGCTTTGCAAATTTATCAAGTTTATATATTACCTCCTCTTTCTGATTTGCCTCTAATTCTAAAAGTTGATCTCTTGAAGGTGCACCTAACCCAAGCCATGGTTTTGTCAATCGCTTTACATGCATGTGAAAGCTAGAGTATGGAAAAGGAAGACCAAAGAACTGACACATTCAAACTGTGGTGTTGGCAAGGACTATTAAATATACTGTGTACTGCCAGAAGAAAGACCAAATCAGTCTTAGAAGAAATACAACCAGAATGCTCCTTAGAAGCGAGGACGATGAGACGTTAGCTTGCTTACTATGGACACGTTATCAGGAAAGACCAATTACTAGAAAAGGACATCATGTTTGGTAAGCTACAGAGTCAGTGAAGATGAGGGAAACCTTCCATGAGATGAATCGATGCAATAGGTGCAACAATGGACTCAAATACACCAACGATCATGAACATGGCACAGGACTGGGCAAAATTTCATTCTGTTATACATCAGGTTGCCACCAGTCAGAGCTGACTTGATGGAAACTAACAACAACAACATCAGAAGCTCTTTGTGTCTATCTCATTCCAACAGACTGTGATCTATTTAATTATGTGGCTTGTACCTTTTTCATGTATTTATTCCCAGCATCAAACATGGTGCCAGGATTATAGTAGGTGCTCAGTAAATGCTTATTTATGAAGGAAGACAGAGAAGGGGTGTTTGAGGAAATAACTTATCTATTCTGAGTTCCAAACCAGATTGCAATTCCTACAGGAGAGAGCGTTGTGTGTATTTGAGCCTCCTTGCATCCCCAGTTCTTGGCACAGTGCCTGGCATTGGTAGGCACTCACACTCATGAGTGGCTGTGAATGAAAAATTTATGTTTAGCTATTATCTGGTTAAGGTGTTGTTTTCACATGACTTTTTTATAAGGTCATTTTCCTGGGTGTGTGCTCGTTTGAAGGAGCATTATGGAATGCTGTGAATATATCCAGTAGGAAGGTCTTGAGCCCAAGGGGGATGCATCATTCCCTACATGGTTCTCAGACTGGGAAGTGATTGGGAGACACTAGGATTCTGGATTTGGCCTTGCAAGATATCGTGATGTTTACTCAGTAAAGGGAAGATGGCAACAGCCACAGGAAGATGGGCAGAAAGCCTGATGAAGCACCAGTGAAGATATTCTGGACCCACATAACTGAAATACAGTTATACTAGTGCTTTGGAATTACAACTACTGGTATATTGGTATGCTCTTTGACTTGTCTATGATTTTCTTTGGATTTATGTAAGGAGGATTTTTTTTTTTTAATTTGATTGTGCTTTAGGTGAAAGTTTACATGGCAAATTATGTTCCCATTTAATAATTCCTATACAACTTGTTCCATGATGTTGGTTACATTTTTTATAATGTGTCGACATTCTCGTTATCTCCATTCTTTTTGTTCTGTTTCCATTAAGCTAGCTTTCCTGCTCCTCCTTAGCTTCTCATCTTTGTTTTAGGGTAAATGTTGAACATTTAGTCTCATATAGTTGCTTATTTAAGGCAGCACAGTATTCATGAGTGGTATTGTTTATTTTATAAGCCAATCTATTTGGATGAAGGCCACCGGGAGTGGCTTCAGTTCCAAGTTCAAAGGCTATTTTAAGATGATAGTCCTGGTAGTTCCTCTGGTTTCTATTGGTCCAGTAAATCTGATCCTTTTTAGGAATTTGAGCTTTGTTCTACATTTTTCTCCCTTTCTGTTTGGGACCTTCTATTGTGACTCTGGTCAGAATGATTGGTAGTGGTAGCTGGGCATCGTCTAGTTCTTCTGGTCTCAGGCTAGATGTGGCTGTGGTTCATGTGGGCTATTAGACCTGTGGACTAGTTTCTCCTTTGAGTCTTTTCTTTCCTTCATTCTCTTTTGTTCCAGACAAGTAGAAAGCAACAGTTGTATCTTAGATGGCCGCTCACAAGCTTTTAAGACCCAGATGCTAGTCACCAAACTAGGATGTAGAACATTATCTTTATGAACTATGTCATGCCAATTGACTGAGTTATCCCATGAGACTATGGTCCCAAGGCTTCAAACCCAGTAAACCTATCCCACAAGGTGTTTGGCTGTGTTTAGGTAGTATCTGTATCTGTGCCCCCATGTGGTTTATTATATATATGAATATATATGTGGTGCACATAAACAGGTATATACATATGTTACAGATACACTTGTACATGCACACCTGTATATTCACATGTGCTTTTCTATACACATATATGCATACATGCCTATCTGTGTAACCACGCACATATTTTGTGGTTGTTATTATTGCTCTTTCAAAATTGTTCCTTATTTTTGCATACTTCTTAGTGTCATTTACATTGGACAGGTTGTGGAGCTACCTCGCCCATATTAGGTATTGCCTTTTCCCTCACCAAAAATAACTAGTGTCTACTATTTAGAAAGTAGTTCTCCCTCCCTCCCCTTCCTGTCTCTGGTAACCATTGAAGAACGTTGCTTTCTGTGTGTATACCTAGTCTTGACTTTTTATAAAAGTGAGACCATAAAATATTTGTCCTTTTGTAACTGACTTATTTCACTCAGCGGAATGAGTTCCAGATTCATCCACATGATTAGATGTTTCTCAGACTCATTATTCTTTACAGTTGTGTAGTATTCCATTGTATGTATGTACCACCATTTCTTTATCCATTCATCTGTTCATGGGCAGTGTTTGTTTTTGTTTGTTAGTTTGTTTTTAATGTTAACGAGTCTCAACTGTGTTACATGAAAGCAAGGAAAAAGTTTTGGTTTAGCCTGGGTCCCGGTTTTTTCATGATGCTGCAGGATATCTCTGGGAGAGAGAGAGAGGTGGGCCTAAGTCTCCAAGGGACCTTGGGGAATCAGAGGGTATGATATTAAGGTTTAAAAAAAACAAAAACAAGGAGTAAAGCAGAGGTGATATCATGGTCACCACTTCCTAACAGGAGATTCTAAAGGAAATAATCTATTTAAAATGTCTAGTAAAATGCCTGGTACATAAATTGTGCTCGAACATTTGGTAGCTGTTGGTAGCTGGAAAGGTTCATATAATATTTTGCTTACCCATTGTCAACTAGTTAAAGGAGCCTAGGAAAGAAAGTTAAGTGTGAGAAGCAACTGATAATTTAAATGTAATCAAAATGGAAATAAGGTATTTCTTAAATTATAATGTATCAATGCAAAAATATGTTGTGATTTATAGTTTACACATTTTTTTTTAAATCTGGGTAAAATGTGGTATACCCATTATTTATAATGGGCTGATTAATTCTAAAGCCATACTAAAATATATTTTCCATCAATTGAAATCTACAAGCACATTCCAAAGAGATTTTATACTAGAAGTATAGATGGTGTGCTTACTTTATGAGAAGTCACTGAGCAGACTCTTCACTACTGAGCATAATTTTTTTTGAGATGGTATTGTTTTGAAATCCATCCATAAATTTTTAGTTACTGAAGTGGAACACTTCATCCCACCAGTGATTTTTACCTATTGGAGAGTGCTGTGACATAGCGGCTCCTGGAGAGTCTGTGGTGAGGCACTAGGTCAATTTAGAATGCTCTAGATTTACAGAATGCAAACTGCCCTGAGAAAGTTTAAAATATATCCAAACAAGCCCATTTTAAGGACTAGCCAGGGAGGACTTTGGGTTTTTAGCCCTGTCCCATTTTGTATGAAAATATTTTATGCACTTTAAGTGTAAATTTATACTTTTTCACCCTCCCCTAACCTGGCTTTAGGCAGAACAAATGGGAGAGGAGGAAGAAATTAATCACTTAAAATATATTATCATTTGATATACCACATTTAGACAAGTCCAACGATTCATACTTGTGTTTTCTTACAGGTTACTTTAAAGTCGAATGGTATCTAAATAAATTTTTACTTACCAGAAATACTGCTATAGATATTCCAACCAGAAAGCCTGCTATCACATCTGACCAATGATTTCGATACTCTGCTACTCTGTTGAGTCCAGTAAGAAAGGCCAAACACATTAAGCCCAAACATAGAACTGGCTTAGCAAGTCTTGTTCCTTTGGCTTTGATTGTGTTGGTAATATACATCTGAAATATTAAATGAAAAACAAGGTTTCTCATGAAGGTATTTCCTTGATATACATACACAACATATTATGTATAAGTACACACACACGTGTGGGTATGTGTGTATCTATGATTCAAATCATTAGCTATAGTTTATAATTTTTTAAATAAAGTTTCTTAAAAGCAGAATTTAAAAGTAGTAATCATTCAATTTTACTTACCTGATATGGCCATTTCTCATGAATGGCTAATTCTTATGTAACATTACTAATCAGCTAAGAACACGGAGCACAAGTATGCTAAGTAACCCCTTTTTTATTTTTAATGTAACTTTTTCCTTTTCTTAATAATTTATTTTTTGCTGTTTTTGAAAATATACATAGCAGAATATATACCAATTCAACAATTTCTGAATGTACAATTCAGTGATACTGATCACATTCTTCAAGTTGTACAACCATTCTCACTCTCTTTTTCCAAATTGTTCCTCCACCAATTAACATAAACTCTCTGCCCCCAGGCTTCTTATCTAACCATTAAAGTTGTTGTTAATTCGATGCCATTAGATAGTTCTTTAAACGAGCACAATGCTCATGACAGACATTCTGTACTAATTAAGCTAAACTAGTGTTTGGTTTGGAGAAGACTTCATAGGATATTTTTGGTTTAAGGTTTAAAGATTATCTCAGGGCAATAGTTTCGTGATTTATCCAACCTCCATGGCTCCAGAAAGTCTGGATTCCGTGAGATTTTGAAATTCTGTTCCGCATTTCCCCTCTTTTGATCAGGATTCTTGTATAGAATCTTTGATTTCAATGTTCAGTAATGATAGGCATCATCCAGTTCTTCTGGTCTCATGGCAAAGGGGGCAGTTCTTACAGGCAATTAGCCACACATTCCATTTCCTCTTTCTATTCCTTGTTCTCCTTCCTCTGTTACTCCAGGTGACTAGAGACCAATTGTTGTACCTAGGATGGCGGCTTGAAAGCTTTTAAGACTCCAGGCACTACGAAATGAACTTGAAGGTAGAACAGAAGCACTAATAATGTTATTAGGCCAATTAACTCAGATGTCCCATGAAACCATGACCCTAAACCTCCAGACCAAGAAACCAAATCCCATGGAGTATTTGGTTGTATATAAGCAGCCTCAGTAGCAGCTCTTTTGTTTTATCTGAATTTACATTTTTAAAACACTCATGACAATGCTTTTAGAAAGGGAAAACTGATAAAAGCATTTTTAATGTTTATATATTTATAAACTATACTGAAACAATGTATACTTGAGAAAATATTGAAATTGTCAAGAATTTCATTTTACTCAGACCACAAACAATGCCCACGGAAGCTGCAGTCAAGAAATCAAATGACGCATTGCATTGGGAAAATCTGCTGCAAGAGATCTCTTTAAAGTATTGAAAAGCAAAGACTCACTTTAAGGACTAGGGTGTGCCTGACCCAAGCCATGATATTTTCAATTGCCTCATATGCATGTGAAAGCTGGACAACGAATAAGGAAGACCAAGGAGGAATTGACGTCTTTGAATTATGGTGTTGTCGAAGAATATTGAATATACCATGGAATTCCAGAAGAACAAACAAATCTGTCTTGAAAGAAGTACAGCCAGAATGCTCCTTAGAAGTGAGAATGGCGAGACTTTGTCTCCCGTACTTTGGACATGTTATCAGCAGGGACCAGTCCCTGGAGAAGGACATCATGTTTGGTAAAGTAGAAAGTTAGTGAAAACGAGGAAGAACCTCAACGAGATGGACTGACACAGTGGCTGCAACAATGGCGTCAAACACAGCAACGATTGTGAGGATGGTGCAGGACTGGGCAGTGTTTTGCTCTGTTGTATGTAAGGTCTATTAGTCAGAACTGATTTGATGGCACCTAACAACAACTCAATGGCAACGGGTTTGATTTTTTGGTTTTTAACAACAACAATACTTAACACATCTAGAAACTCAGAACTCCTTAACATATCTAGAAAAAATGCAATGGATACATTTCCTCTAAGTAAATGTTACTTGGAAGGACCTTGAGGTTCAATTATAGCACCAAGATTTGCTTTGATATTATGTGAAATTGTGGAATTATTTTGTCTTACCTAAATTTTATCAGCTAAAATTACAACAACAACAAAACTAATTACAACAGGTCAAATGTATTGCCCAAAAAACAAAACAGAACAATGAATGTTGTTAGGTGCCATCGAGTTGATTCGAACTCATAGCAACCCTACAGAACAGAGTAGAACTGCCCAATAGGGTTTCCAAGGAGTGGCTGGTGGATTTGAACTGCTGACCTTTTGGTTAGCAGCCAAGGTCCTAACCACTGTGGCACCAGGGGTCCAAACAATGCATAGAAACGTACATTTCTGGCATCTTGACATATGCTAATGAAGAACATATAATTCCACTGATTGCACTGTATGACATGTGTAGAAGTTGTAAGCCACCATGCTCAACAAATAACTTGGTCCTTCCCCGAATCTGATTTGTTATATCTCTCAGTCGCTTATAATTTACACCTTGTGTTACTACACCAGGGGCCCTGGTGGTGCAGTGGTTAAGTGTTCAGCTGCTAACCGAAAGGTCACTGATTTGAACTCATCAGCTGCTCTGAGGGAGGAAGATGTGGCAGTCTGCTTCCATAAAGATTACAGCCTAGAAAACCCTCTGGAGCAGTTCTACTCTGTCCTATAGGGTCACTATGGGTCGAAATCAACTCAACAGCAATGGGTTTGGTGTTTTTGTTTTTGGTTACTATAAAAGTAAATCTGTGGAGTGCAAGCTGAATGTGTCAGTTGTTATTTCAAGTTATTAGCAGAGTAATTTTAAAAGAAATGATTTTGAATGGAAGGACAACACACAATACAGGGTAAGTCAGTACAACTGACTAAACCAAAAGCTAAGAAGTTTCCTGAACACAACCAAACACTCTGAGGGACAGACCAGCTGGGGCTGGGGTCTACAGATCATGGTTTTGGGGGACATCTAGCTCAATTGGCATACAAAGTTCATTAAGAAAATGTTCTGTATCCCACTTTTGTGAGTGGCGTCTGGGGTCTTAAAAGCTAGTGAGTGGCCATCTAAGATGCATCAATTGGTCCCAACCCACCTGGCGGAAAGGAGAATGAAGAACACCAAAGACACAAGGAAAATATTAGCCCAAGAGACAAAAGGGCCACATAAACCAGAGACTTCATCAGCCTGAGACCAGAAGAACTAGATGGTGCCCGGCTACCACCAATGACGGCCCTGACAGGGAACATAACAGAGAGTCCCTGACAGAGGAAGAGAAAAGTATGGAGCAGAACTCAAACCCACATAAAAAGATCAGACCTAATGGTCTGACTGAGAGTGGAGGAACCCCTGAAACCCTGGCCCCCGGACGTTCTGTTAACCCAGAAATAAAACCATTCCTGATGCCCGCTCTTCAGACAAAGATTAGACAGGACTATAAAACATAAAATACTCGTGAGGAGTGTGCTTCTTAGTTCAAGCAGATACACAAGACCAAATAGGTGGCTCCTGTCCGGAGGCAGGATGAGAAGGCAGGAAGGGACAGGAACTGGTTGGATGGACACGGGAAACCCAGGGTGGAAAGGGGGAGTGTGCTGTCACATTGTGGAGACTGCAACTAGTGTCACGTAACAATATGTGTATAAATTTCTGTATGAGACATTAACTTGAGCAGTAAACTTTCACCTAAAGCACAATTAAAAAAAAAAAAAAAGATGATTTCAACAATACCATTAGGAAACGGATTTTATAGGATTAATGTCAGTATCTGATACTGATAACAAACTTAGAAAAATACACAGAAATGCATATAACCACCTGCCTATTCTCCCAAGTTGAATTAAAAAAAGAAAAATTGCCTGAGAGATTGAACCAAAATCAGCATTTAAGATTTTAGTTCATAGTGGTCACTTCCACCTAAGGCAATAAAATTCAGAAATTATTTTCTCCGTTTTTTTTTTTTTTTTCTGGGCAAAGTTTGCAACCTTGTTAGCTGTCAGAAGGGAATGTATGAAGATTTAAACACCCCATGTGATACAAAGCTTCTCTCTAGCCAAGGTCTAGCTCTTCACAATCTATCCCAGGTCCCAATACTCTGCAAAAAATAAAAATAAAAGAGTTGTCTCCATCTTGGCCTGTAGCCTTTGGAGTTATGCCTGTGCATTCTAAACTTATGCTCTGGAGAGTTTAATAATTTCAGTTATGGAGAATAGGTATACGTGGTGGAAACAGGAAGATGAGAAAGCGAAAACAATGCTTTTGTCATTCTAAGAGAATGTGTTAAGAAGCTCTGCCCACACAAATAACAAGGTGAGGCTATCACACCACTTCAGGTTTCCAGGGACGTATCTAATAAAGTAATCCCTGATATGACTAGTGCATTTGAACACAGAATAAAATTTGGACTGCTCCTGAGATGTTCTTTAACACAGCTATAAGGCTGATGAAAGATACATTTTCATTTCTTCACATCCATCAGAACCCTAAAGATATGCTATCCTTATTAAGACAAAATAAATGTGGGACGGTAATGAAAAAATATTAATACTGCTAGTATTAATTACAGTTATAATTTAATGAGTGATTGCTATGCTCTAGGCACTGTTCCAAGCATATTAGATTGTTATCTCATCAAATCCACAAAACAACCCTATGAGTTAAATATTATTGTTATTATCTTCATTTTGCAGATGAAAATAATTGAATCAAGATAAAGATTATTATGAAGAATACACAACTTGACTATTGGGAGTGGTACTGTTGAGGAAGTAGAGATGTAAACAGGAAGTAAGGGGGAATCACTTAAGCACCTCCAAATCTTCATTTCTTCTTTCTCCATTGATTTCTTACCTGGAGGAAGTGGCCAATGGGCATATGCTAAATATGAATGAATGCTAGAGAATTCGAATTAAATGAGAAAGAAGGTAGCAGTATACCATAGGAGTGAGGCTACATCTATACTCTGCTTTTTGGGAAAAATAGGGGTAGTGTAAG